AGTAGTAGTAGTAGTAGTAGTAGTAGTAGTAGTAGTAGTAGTAGTAGTAGTAGTAGTAATAGTAGTAGAAGTAGTAGTAGTAGTAATAGTAGTAGTAGTAGTTGTAGTAGTAGTCGTCGTAGTAATAGTATTAGTAGTAGTAGTAGTAGTAGTAGTAGTAGTAGTGAAGTGAAATCTAGGATCAGATTCAAAAACTGGATATTTTTGTCACTAAAATACAATGTTTTTTTAATTAAATGACTGGTTTTGACTTTCAAAGACTTTTTGTTTCTCATCTAAAGAATTGAATCAGTTCAACTCAGTTCAGTTTATTTATATACTGTAGCACCAAGTCACAACATACCTTGTCTCAACGAATCAAGTCAAAGTGAACTGAGAAAGTTTGATTCAACTTGTTGAGGTGGTCATGCCCTGGATGTCTGAAAATCCAAACCAGCTCTTAAATATACAACCAAGATGCAGCGAAACAGAAGTTATTTTATGCAGCTATGCTCAATAGCATGCCAAGAAAAATGCTTATCATACAGTATGACATTTTTCATTTCTCGATCCCACAAAAAAGTACATTTACGTAAATCAAACTGTACAAAATCATGTGTCATACTGAGAAGAAGCTAATACTGTCTGCCYTCTTTGTGGAGCGCATCAATTTGCTCCGACAGAATAACTCTGCTGTTGAAGTCTTGGAGGTGAAAGAGGCAGCTGAATGCGTGAGAAGAAATTCAGTAAATAATGGATGTCGTGAAGCTTCAGTGGAGGCTGTCGGCTTTGAAATCCACTCCCTGGTTGAGTCACATTCCCAGTTCACTCTCTTCATTTTACATTTAACTGGCCCTGTGAGGTAAAACCAATATTTCTACGCACATCATCTCTAGTGGGAGCTGTCCAAATAAGTTAACGCTGTGGGGGTGCTGATCTCAGAGCTATCCCACCCAGGTGTTCTGTCCGTCTGCATACATTAGCTTCAGATTTTACCCTTTAATTATCCAGAATTCAGAACCTTTTGAAACAAAATTTCCAAAAAATAAAATATGGAATGAACAAATGTTTATGAGTTTTTTTTTTTTTTTTTTTTTTTTTTTTTTTTTGACCAGGCAGGAGCAGAATAAAAGTTTAGGACTTTTAAGAGATCTCTGAATGAGCTGTTTTTCTTTTTGTAGGAGTGGAGAGATTTCTACACTCGTCAAACGTTATTGGTTGTTAAAGCTAATAAATGTAATAAGACAGCTCGTACTGTGGAAGCAGAAGGTGCCTTAGTATTAAATAAMTTATTAAAGCTGAAGCTTCACATTGATGGTGCAAACACTGTTCATTACTAGTAGTTTGGGCAGTTTTAGGTTTATGTGTGTGACAGATTTATTGAAATATGCAGGAGAAATAATAATAATAATTAGCTTTTCATGCATGCAAATCAGACATGTTGGAATTTTTAATTAGAAATTGTCAGGACCTGTTAGTATGT